TGGGGGTCTTCAAGAAGAGGTTGGATATGCATCTAGCTGGGGTCATCTAGACCCAGAACTCTTTCCTGCCTGTGCAGGGGGTCAGACTCGATGATCTATTGAGGTCCCTTCCGACCCTAACATCTATGAATCTATAAAAGGACCACTTTAGGCATAAGTTAAGTTTCCATTCTCATTTAACCCTTCACCTCCCTGCAGAACTTGCCAAAAATGTTACAAACCAAAACAATTGTTGCAACATAGGTAACAGTTCACCAAGGAGTTAAACTGTGAGCACTAAAACCATCTTAACCAAACAGTTGGGAGTTTTTAGCCATGCACAGCACACACACCAAATTCAAGCAGGTAATCTAGTAGTGAAAGCTTCTCTGTTCCATTTACCATTGTCCTGAGCTACTCAAAGTTCTTCAATTACCATGAAAACATATACATCAAGGTAACTGCATTCCCTATTAACGGAATCTAGCTTAATATCTGGAATGATTTAAGAGTGGGTAATCTACTTTATCAGCAATATGATTTTTTTAAATGTAGTGATCCTTTCTGAACTTAAAAGCCTTTTTTTTTTTTTTTTTTTAGTTTTGCTCCATTGACTGGGAGGCCAGTTGAAGGCGTTCAGTTGCCATTTTGGTGACATTAGTTGCAGACCCAGGAATTCAAAAATTCAGAAATTCAAGAAGTCAAGAGACCACTTAACAAGGTGGGCCACAAGAAGGCTTTCACCATCCACCCCAAGTAGTACTGTGCACCTGTCTGGGCCTCAGGTCAACATACCAAACTCACTGACACACAACTCTCCTCAGTAATGAGGACTATCTCTAGAACTGTGATATCAGCTCCAGTGCTGTGGCTACCAATACTTTCAAACATTACTCCTCCCTCTATTCAACGAGATGCAGCAACATACAAAGAAATAATGCATATCATTAGTAATCCTGACCTTCCCATCCACAGAGACCTTCAGTATCTCCCAGCTTGTCACATGATTTCATGAAAATCTTTTGGATACAAACTGAGCACTTCCTATACCACAACACTGAAGAATCTTGGAGGAAGGCTTTGGCAGAAAACACTTTCCCAAATAAACATCTTGTTTCGGACTGAATGATGCAGCGACAGGGCTTCAACCTTCCACGGATCATGTGGACAACCCTTAATAGGATACGCACTGGACATGGCCAGTGTGGCCACCTAATGTACAAGTGGTGCCTAAAAACCTCACCTGGCTGCGACTGTGGAAACCCTGACCAAACCATGGAGCACATAACAACATCCTGTCCCAGTTACAAGTTTGAGGGCAACATCCTGAAGTTACACTCACTTCCCAGCAGGGCATTGGTCTGTTTGGGGAATTTGGAATTAAAACTGTGACGATAGATCTTGCTCCTAAAGCCATACGAAAGAGAGAAGAAAAGAAAGCCTATGCATCACTGTCTACAGATAGATCTGTCTCTCTCAACCAATAGACACAAACACATTAAGGCCCTGTGGATGTTTCTTGTCTCTTATTTTCTTTATTAATCTATTTCCTAGTTAAGTAATTTATCCTCTCTACTTAACATATAAAACACAATGAAGGCCCAAAATTCAAGTTTTGGTTTTATTGCTTATCCATTATAGTTGAATTTGAGAGAGAAACTAAAAGAAAACTTCATGGAGCTATGACAGAAAGAAACCAGTTACACAAATTATATCATTGGTTGATTTGATTTTCCCAAGGCTAGGTTAGCTTCTATTCAGTTTGATGTGCCAGGACCAAAAACTGGGAAACGTATCAAGACAAATATTTTTTAAAATGAATACATCTTGCTGCTTTGAGTTATGGTAGTTTAAAATATAAACAACTATGCAAATAGGAAACATATTAGGTTGAAAATCTAGAAACATAACGTTGCAAAAGTAAAAACCAGGTCCTCACTTGGTGCAAGTCAGCAGACCCCCATTGACCTCAATGCACCTGTACCATCTTCCATAAATTGACCATTTGGCCCATATTGCATAAACTCAGGGAAGTTTGGAGCTGATCCTAAGAGATGCTATGTACTTATAACACTG